TGTAGAGAACGACAGAGTCCTTTGTCGTCCCTAACTTTCCTCACCATGACACATTTCTGTTGGGAAACCAAGAACTACTGCCAACTACCACTAGTCCAGCTCACTGACTTAGTGGTAGTGTCCGCCCTGGGACTGGGAGACTGGGGTTCAAATCCTGGTCGGGTCATAACAAAGACTTGAAAAATGGGATCCAGTGCCTCCCTGCTTGACACTCGGCTTGAAGAGGTTGGGTTTGGGGTTAAACCACGGAAGGTTCCCGAGCACGGCCACAGCCGCAGCTCACCGCTCCCCCCGGGGATGGGTCAGATATGGAGAACAACTAACGGGACTTTAACTTTTAATGTCACATGGCTTCAGCTCTGGTAGGAAGCCTGGGTGGTTTCTCAGTGAAGCTTCTGCTACAAGATGATGTCAACGAGCTTTTTCATCTGGTGTCATATCTCCTTTGATGATGAAACCATATCCTCTGGTGATGAATCTGACTTTCGGAGTGAGTCACTAAGCTCCAGTCTTCTCTGTGTTGCCCTGCAGGTGTTCTTCAGAGCGGGGACTCTGTCCAGGTTGGAGGAGCAGCGTGATGTCCAGACCAGGAGGAACATCTCTCTGTTCCAGGCTTCCTGCAGAGGACATCTGGCCAGGCAGGCCTTCAAGAAGAGGAAGGTAGGACAGCTGCACTTAGACGGTAGCACGGTTTTACTCTTGTCTGCATGCAGCTAAAACACTCCTAAAGTGTTGACTAGATATGTGCAAAGTTCCTGTTTCATGGGCTTTATTCCTGATGCAACAGAAGATTTCCTCCTATTGGACTTGTACTAGCTTCCAGCGTTCCCCAGTTCCTCGTTGGTTTCAGTACGAAATGTGTTGCTTATAAAATACATTAATCACAATCTGTATTTTTCCTGTGTGTTCCTGTCGGACAGATCCAAGATCTTGCTATCCGCTGCATTCAGAAGAACATTAAGAAGAATCATGGTGTCAAAGACTGGCCGTGGTGGAAGCTCTTCACCACGGTCAGACCTCTGATCGAGGTTCAGCTGACCGAGGAGCAGATACGTGGCAAAGATGTGAGTTAGCACATCCTCTGGTCAGACAGGGTGTGTTGATCAGTGAGAACCATCGACATATATACTGGACGATTAGTGCCCACAGGCTCCAATTATACGTTTTGTACCAAAACGGGAGGTGGCCACCACCGCCATTTTGACCGTGTCACAGGTTCCGTCAAGCCCAGAAAATTCCAAAAAAGGGAAAAGAGGTGGAGCTGAGGGTGGGGCTGTAAGGCTGGGATCAACTGACAACACCCGTTGAACTGAAGCGCTGTAGCTACAAGCTAGCACGGAGGTAGGAGCTAAGCTAATGGAGGAGCTACCTAGCTACAGCCGGAGTTAACTGTGCACAACACCGGAGCTTCTGAGTCACAGATGCGCCGGGCTGACCGCTGGGTAAAACCGGGTGGAACCCAGAGGTCTCCGAGACCTCCACAAGCCGGCAGCCGTGCAGCAGACAGGCGCCGCTGCGGTCAGAGATGCACCGAGCTGCAGCTGAGGAGAGGGGACCATACCGTTAGTGGGAGCCCAGCTCCACCAACATGTTATATTTCAACCCATTTTCTAAAGTGCAGCATTATGTTAAATGCACTGGGTTTTACCCTATTACATTTAAATTTCATGGTTAAACAGTACATGTTAACATCTAAGCTCAGCTCGGCAGTGACCTAAAATACATAAATATAATTTTACTTACCGAAAAAAATGAAGTGGAGACTCCTTGGACGCTCTATTAGTGCAATTAATGCCACAGCAAGTCATTTTGTCCAACTATTGCACAAATAATATCCAAACAAGAATACACACACACAGAGACTCAAAATCCTGGAGCTGTCTCCAGGCCAGACCGAGGCTCTACTGAGGCCTTTCCCCGGAGCTAGCTCTGTGGTCACGTGGGTCTGATGCTCATTAATTATACAGAATTTTAGGCTTTTAATACACTTAAACAGAAGAGTGAGAAAACATTCACCCCCTCAGAGTTGTCATGAGTGTAAACTAGATCATTTAAACCTAAAACATGTTCTGGTACCAGGCTGTAAACATGTTTATTTCTGCTGTTAAATTGGTATTTTTAACATGGGAGTCAATGAGGATTTGCTCGCTTCTGACACCAGCCCCTAGTGGATGAGGGTGGAACTGCAATTTATTTCACTTCCGCGTTGGCCTCAATTTCTGCCCTGCATTGTGGGGCCTTAGAACACACAGGTTCTGTTTGTTATTATTGACCGTGTGTGTGTGTGTGTGTGTGTGTGTGTGTGTGTGTGTGTGTGTGTGTGTGTGTGTGTGTGTGTGTGTGTGTCAGGAGGAGATTCAGCAGCTGAAGCAGAAGTTGGAAAAGGTGGAGAAGGAGAGGAATGAGCTGAGACTCAACACTGACCACCTTGAGAACCGGGTAAACACACACACACACACACACACACACACACACACACACACACACACACACACACACACACACACACACACACACACACCATCACCCCAGAACCTCTCTCTGTCTGTTGCCTTCCTCAGAGCTGGGACGTGTCTCAGCTCTGGAGGAGTAGAAGGTAAACAAAGGCTTTTCTGTACGACTGCTGCCAGCTAAAGTGCATCAAATCCAATGTTCACACACACACACACACACACACACACACACACACACACACACACACACACACACACACACACACACACACACACACACACACACACATACGGCCCATATCTGATTTTTCTATGACAGTCTGAACAACACAGATCCGATGTTTTCAAATCTGACCCATGTCACTTTCATATGTGGTACAGATTCCTGTACATATCCGATGTTTTTGAAAGCGACTGCAGTCTGAGCGGTCATATTGCATTAAATCCGTCTCCTACCTCACTGAGTCAGTGGATGTGAGCATTGTGTGTTGATGCTCCTGAGGAGAAGCGCTGACAGAAGGATTCAGTAGTCTGTCTGGACATCCTGTTTTAAGTTTTGGGTTAGGGTTAGTAAAAAAGAGCCTGAGAACGGGAGTGGAGGTGCTGCTGGAGCGAAGCGTCTCACCGGTCTCAGTCTCCATGAAGGGAGGGAGAGCGGGTCTCCGTGAATTAACTTAATACCGGAACATTTTTGGTGAATATTAAGTTGGGAAGACGGCGGGAACAAGGAGTAAATTAGTTCAGTGTTTAAAACCGTTTCCAGACTAAAACGGGAGGCTGGTGTGTGTGTGTGTGTGTGTGTGTGTGTGTGTGTTTTCAGATCTCAGAGCTGTCATCAGAGCTGACTGATGAGCGGAACACTGGGGAGTCGGCCTCCCAGCTGCTGGAGGCTGAGACGTCTGAGAGAGTCCGTCTGGAGAAGGACTTGAAGGATCTGCAGGTAAAACGATAAATCTCTGCTGTGTAGCTTCATGCAGCGTTCGTTGCAGTCAGATTCTTTTCATTTCCCTACAAATGGTTTTTAATGTAAAGGCTTGGTGGACTGTTCCTTAGGAAATGTGGAGCTCTAAAACATGTCAACTGTATTTGGTGACATTTTTAAAGATGTGGTTCTCTGAAAACCCTTTTTTATTATAATCGGTCTCTCTGGGCTTTTCATGCAGGCCTCACATGAAATAGTCTCCTACACCTATCTTCTGCAGTAGCTTCAGATAGAAAACAGAAGGTGAAACTCTAGGATAGAAAATCCTGACAGATCTACGTCACACTGTCTACATGCATGGACTCACCCATCTGGACTCACGACGGGGAAGGCTGTTGTCGGTTTAGCGTCCAGGGAATGGCAGAGAACGTATCAGCTAGCAGAAGCTAACCATTAGCATTAGCATCTCCACCACACAGCAGAACTCCTTCAGGCTTGTGTTATTTGTGCAGATAACACATCAACGTCGCAGAGCAAACATAGTCAGTGGTAGAGTCGTGTTGCTGTTAGCCAATCAGAGATGAGCTGTCCAAACATCAGGAACTAATGGTCCAAGTCTTGTCGTCTGATGTAGCGTTCTGCTTGTTCCTGAAACAGGAGCGTCTGAGCTTTTTCCCCCCAGAGTTCAACTTGCAAGTCATTGATTCCTACTAGAGACCGCTGCTAATGTATAGATGAAACAAGTGTCCCACACCTTAAGTTTAGATTATTTTCCCTGAAACTGAAGCCAGTTTGAAAACTAAATCATTACAAGAGTCAACAACAGCTTCAGGAATCCAATATTTGGGGTGACTAGATGTCCTGCATCTTGATAGGTGGGTTTACCAAAACGTTCTATATAGCTAATAACTGAAAAGCAGCAGAGGCCCTCACTCTAGAGCTGGGGTGGGCAATCCTGGTCCTCGAGGGCCGCTATCCAGCAGGTTTTAGTTGTTTTACTGCTCCAACACACCTGATTCCTGGATGAATCACCTGTTCAGCAGCTCATCAGGCTCTGCAGCAGCCTGTTAATCACCAGCAGATTCAAACCAGGTGTGCTTAAGCAGAGAAACAACTAAAACCTGCAGGATAGCGGCCCTCGAGGACCAGGATTGCCTAACTTACGAAATAATTTTCCAGTGTGAGTCCACACTCATACCCAGCCGAAGTTTTTACCTAAAGTATATTTTCAATAACATGAGGAAAACATTATTTTAATGGAAAATGATTAAACAATCTTAGGCTGAGGTAGCAAACTCAAAATGCAATATTAAAAGTGCTAAACATTAAAAAAATGTATAATCTTTCAGTTTAGCCCCTTTAAAAGGTTTCTGAATGAACTTCGACTCCTGCACACAGCGTAGACATAGAAGAGTAGATGCCGCACAACCGCTACTGCCTATGTTTGGCTGCATTTGCGGGTTCTACTTTTTATAAACTCTATGGTTAAAGAAGAAGAAGAAGAAAGTATCACGTCTATAGCGCCTCTCAAGATAAAAATCACGAGGCGCTTCACAAAAACAAAAAATGTAAAAATATAAAAAAGCATTTAGAAAATGTTTAAAAATATATTAAAATGAGCAAAA